ATATGACCCCGTGTGACTTTTTCCTCTTCCCCCGACTCAAACTACCATTGCGAGGAACGCGTTTTGAAAATGTTAGTATATACACTTATGTTAATATTTATTTATTTATTTAATGAACTTATTTATTATTTTGGGTTAAAAGTTTTTAAATTTATTTATTAAACATATAATAAAATTTTCACAATGGTAATACCTAATTTACCTAACTTTTATCTAATTTACTTTACTGGTAAATACCAACATTCGCTGCCATACCGACATAATATTCTATTTCCCTCCATTTGCAATCAATTAATTCGGCCTTGCACACTGCCTAAATAGTAAAGCAATTGTCAATATGAAATTTCTATTCAAAAGTCTGTGATGTCCTATTTATATGAGAACCATGAGGTTTTGGACCACTGCAATCAATTCGATATTTTTGAGTTACGTCGCATCTCGAGTTTTACCGAAATTAAGTTGTTCATCATGTAATAAAAGCATCAGAAAATCGAATGAATTCTTGATAGCACCAACAAAACTATTTCTGTTTTATAACAATTATATGAAATCTACAGATTTCGGTAAACTTGTTCCACCCACTGAAGAGTTCCTTAATGTAATCTGCAAGCATGTGCCCATATTTAAGAAGATAAATAATTTTAAGCTTTTGAAATTAGGAAAGTAATGAGGGAACACTGCATTTTTTAAGTCCGACTTGGTTTATTGGGACCTGCAGATTTCGACTAAGGCATAAATTATTTTATGCCCTTATATTACAAATTCACCCTGATACAGGCTTAATAACTGTTATGTAGGCCTACGAAAAAAATTTAGTTTTTGTTACAAGAATTTAAAAATATAATAAAGATGGTACTTGCGGCGTCCCACGCTGTCCAAGATCACTTCTCTGTATGATTGTTTGTTTGTTCATATGTATATATATACACTTACGGCAATGATCTATTTACATATATTTATTTATATGTTATTTATATATAAATATCATGCACTTTTGTTTATTTTTCTTTTTTATTCCTGGCTGATGTTTGTTATTTTATTTTTTTTTTATGCTTTATTTGTCACTGAAATTTTATTTTTGCAATGTGCATTGTGCGGTTATTTCATTGGCTCCGCCAACACTTCACAATATTCCAATTAATTGGTCTACGTGATCAAATTTGTATCAATTGCAAAATTCGACAGTACATGTCTCATAAGTGTCGCAAATAATTATCTATCCCACGGTACACTTCCCATATTACCAAATTTGTTTCAATCGGCACTTTCCAAACATTAATTACAAAACGTAATTCTTGGTAACTATTCTAGTTGCAGAACAATTAAAGTATCGAAATAATATTTTATCCCACGATACTTTAACTTCCTCTTAATTAGCAAAACAAAATTTCCTAATTTCACTGCTCCAAATTCAAATTTCTAAATCATTAAAATATTAAAACAATATTTTAATTCATAGTAATTTCCATTACAAAATCTATTGCATTTGAGCATTTCTCAAGCTGCATCAGCATTTCACATAAACAATGTAATGACCCTCATTTGTCAACAGGTTACCAAATTTTTATTGTTACCTCTCATCCACTTTCGCCAATTATGATTTGTAAGTAGTATATAAGATACTGATTTTGTATTTAGAATTTAGTCTTAAGATTCCACCTAAGTGAACGGATATATAATTATTAAATAATTTTATTTATAATAAAATTCGTTTTTTTTAAAACCAAATAAAATAAAATAAAATTTTAATAAAAATTAAAATTTGTGTGTGTTTTATTTTTTTTTATTTACCGAAGTGAATAAAAATATAAGTGGCGCAGTCGACGGAGTTTAAATCTAAAGATTTAAACAAAAAGAACCTCGAAGAAAAAAGGAAAAAGAGTTAATTTAAATTAATTAATTTGTTTTAAAAAAATCAAAATTTAATCAACTTTGTTATATATTGAAAAATAATGTTTTAAAAGTTTCTATGAACATTTTTGTGAGAACATATAAATATACGAAAATATATTTGTGAAATTTTATTTAAAGACAAGAAAAATATATATTTGTGGAAATATAGTGATAATATACATATGTATAAATGTTGCCAGATATAGAACAAGATAACGATTCTGTATCAATAGCAATAGCAGGATTCATACCGGTTGGTGATAGTGAACACGGTTATTTAAGAGGTTTCGAAGATCTTCACGAAACCGTAGACTTTATTGAATTAATTGAAGAACAACGGTACAGAATAATAATAGAAAGTGAGTTAAAAGAACTTAAAGAAAAACAGAAAAAAAAAACAAACCATAACAATTTATGAATCGTGCTTATAAAATAACTATTTTTTTTTTTGAACAAAAGAAAGACAAATAAACACATTTTGTGCAACAAAATATATATAAACAAAATAAACAAAAACAAAACTACAAAACAGAAAACAAAAAAGTGACAAAATAAAAACATTTAAATCAAATAAATAAAAACTTTAAAGCTTTGTGAAATTAAATCAGCATATAACAATGGCGCAAGAAAATAACCAAGCAATTTCCGCAACAGAACTGATAAAAGAAGCGGCAAGGATTAAGGAGTTTTCCGGCAGCAAGGATTATGATTTGTCATCATTTCTACGGGAAGTTGATCTGATCCTTCCCCTCTTCAATACAAATGAAGGACTAAAGGAGTTTGTTTTCCAGCGATATGTGAGGAATAAAATACAAGGAGCAGCCTTACAATGTATAAGAACACTAGGACGTCATCCAACTTCGGAACAAATACGAACCGAACTAATCAGGAACTTTGGCGTAAGAGAAACCTACCACCAATTATATCACCAGGCAATACAAATAAGGAACACAAATGTAAGTGAATATTTTCGTAATTTAAGATATATATTAGATAAACTTAACTCTAAGTATGAATTTGATATAGAAAAACCTTGTGAGTTTAAACCCAATGTCAATGAATCTCTTATTCTTAAAACTTTTCTCAATGGTATAGATCCAAATCTAGCCAGTATTGTTCATGGTAGGGATATTAAATGTCTAAGGGAAGCATATTATATTCTTGAAGAAACCGGAATGCTTAAACAAGATAAACAGTTCTGTAAAAAAGAGTGAATTGTAAAGTATTCCTAGTTTATGATCAAACCTTAAATACTGAGCTCTTGCACCAATTCACCTCCTTTTTTTTACCCACGGTTCGAATGGGTTTGTTAAAATTGAAAAAATTAATTAAAAAATCGACAATTGATATTTCGTTAAGCACGTGAACGCACGAACCATAATTTTATTTCTTCGTATATAAAAAATAGCAACAACAATGCAAAAACAGGTTTTTAAAAACAATACAAATGTTACAAATAAATTGTTACAATTGATTATTCTATCGTGATACAGAACATTTGTTACACTTGATTGATCTCTAATTTAAAAAAATAACATTAGTTAATATTAATATGTACATATAAAAAAGAAAAATATTATGATGCCAAGTTGGCTTAACATCCCGGCCCCTATTGAAATATTAAATTTCAATTAATTGGAATAAGTGCCAACTTAGCAACAGGGCGTCGTAAAACTGTTGTTGGTGTTTGTACATCAGCAACGCGAACACGTCCGTCAGCGCCTGTTTTCACACTCACAATACGACCCATTACCCATTTCATCGGAGGAGCGTGCTCGTCATAAATGATAACCAAGTTGCCAACTGCAACGTTATCTTGATCATATTTCCAACGATATCGGTTCTGCAAGTCTGCTAAATATTCGCTCTGCCATCTCTTCCAAAAGTGTGTTTTTGCTGCTGATATTCGTTGCCAGCGTTGGGCATGTGCAATGTTTTCGTTCTTTAAAAACGGCTCAGGAATACCTTGTAATGATGTACCAATCAAAAAATGCGCAGGCGTCAGAGATTCGAAATCATTGGGGTTTGTTGAAGTTGCTGTGAGCGGTCGAGAATTCATGATTGCTTCAATCTCGACTAATGATGTTGTAAGTTCTTCGAACGTAAGATGAGCGTTAGACAATGTGCGATATAGATGGCCTTTGGCAGTTTTTACAGCAGCCTCCCAAAGACCCCCAAAATGTGGGGCGCGAGGAGGAATAAATGAAAATTCTATTCCTGAATTTGCACAGTGAGAAATAATTGCATTTTTCATGCAATCTTGATGAAAATGTTTTCGAAGTTCTATTAATTTTGTTTTAGAACCCACAAAATTTGTCGCATTGTCACAATGTATTATCCTTGGCAAACCTCGTCGTCCCACAAATCGCTTTAAAGCAGCAATGAATGGATCGCTAGTTAAATCAGTGACGGCCTCTAAATGAACTGCTTTAGTAGCAAAACAAATAAAAACCGCAATGTATGATTTATACGGTGCTTTACCATGAATTTTTAAATATGTAAAAATAGGCCCAGCAAAATCAACGCCTGTAACTGTGAAAGGTCTGCTTGGTGTAACCCTTTCCTTTGGTAAAGGTGCCATTATTTGATTGATTAGTTTGACTTTATATCGTGCACAATGGACACATTTTTTTATAACTGAAGTTGCTAATGATTTGCAATTTATTATCCAAAAACGTTGTTGAATAGTTGCAACTAATGCACGAGGGCCAACATGATAGTTAACCCGATGAAAGTACATTACCAGATGTCGAACAAATGGTTCATCCTTTGGTAACAACAATTGATGTTTAAATGTTTCTGGTGTATCAGAATTTGTTAGACGACCTCCTACACGTAATAAGAAACAATTTCCGCTTTTATCAATGAATGGCGCTAATGTAGCTAATTTCCTTTAACATGACCCACCTGTTCCAATTGTTTAATTTCATCACTAAATCTGTATTGTTGAATTACCCACACTACTATATGAAGAGCATTGTCGAGCTCAGTAGCAGAAATGTATTCATTTTTCAATCGAGTTTTAAAGCGGATAATGTATGCTATTACTCTTAAACATGTTAAGTAGTTACTAATATTGTTTATTTTAAGCAAAACGTATGGTACGGGTTTATTTTCAATTATAAATGCCGTTTTTTTTTTTCTAAATTGACTTCTTCATCAGTCAATGAATACGAAGTAAATTCCAAAGGCCAATCAATTTTTGAGCTGTTGAGGAACGATGGTCCCATTAGCCATTGGGACTTAACTAAATCTCGCGTAGAACATCCACGAGATACTAGATCTGCTGGGTTTAATTCTGATGGTATATATCTCCATTCAAAGCCATTAGTCAATTCTTGTATTTCTGCTATTCTATTTCCAACAAATGTTGATAATGTTGAAGAATGAGTATGAATCCAATGCAACGTAATTTGTGAATCCGTCCAAAAAAATACGTTTTGAAATTAGGTTGAAGTTGATGCCAGAATTTAGACAGAAGGTGAGCCGCGCAAAGCTCTAAACGGGGAAGTGACCGTTGTTTCAAAGGAGCAGTTTTAGATTTGAAAGTCACGAGTTTGGTACATATATTGCCAATTGCATCCGTGCATTTAAAATATATGCAGCAACCATAAGCCTTTGTTGAAGCGTCAGCGAATCCATGAACTTCTATACTGACTGGATTTAACATTAAAACAAAACGAGGAATTTTGAAAGTAGATATTTGTTCAAAATTGATGATAATTTCTCTCCAAGCCTGTGAAATTGTGTCAGATACTGCGTCATCTCAATCATACTTCAAGATCCACAGTTTCTGAAGAAGTATCTTAGCCTTTATAATAATCGGACTAATCAACCCCATTGGATCAAATAATGCTGCGACTGTAGATAAGATTGATCGCTTGGAAATGGTATTTGAAGAATCATTCAATTTAAAATTGAACGTAAAATAATCATCAATTGGACACCAAATTACACCAAGTGCACTAGTTAGATCACTATTGGTAGTGATGGAGCACGCTGCAGAACAGTTTAAATCAGGGTGATTACTATGCCATTTGGATAACGGCATTTGAAAGTATTGAAGTATGTCAGTAACTTCATTTTTAATTTGTTGAAGGCGAAGTAAATCATCAGCCCCTGTTAACATATCATCAACATAAAAATCGTCTTTTATTATTGATTTTCCAAGCTCATGGTTACCAGGATATGTATCGACTGCATAGGATAAACTACGTATAGCTAGAAATGGAGCAGCAGCAGTTCCGTAAGTCACTGTATTTAACATGTATGTTGATACGGGTAACGACTTGTCATTGCGCCAAAAAATTAACTGATAATTCCTATCCTGATGATGTACCATAATCTGACGATACATTTTCGTTATGTCCGCCATAAGTCCATATTTATGGCAACGAAAACGTAGCAGATTAATGAGTAATTCATTTTGTATATTAGGACCCACTGCAAGGATGTCATTTAGTGAGACCTGTGATGCCGTTTTGAAAGAAGCATCGAACACCACGCGTAACTTAGTTGATTCACTACTTGACTTCAGCACGCAGTGATGCGGAATATAATAATGAGGTATTGATAAATTTGGACTATGAATCAATACAATATGTCCCAATTCTTCGTATTCTTTCATGAATTTTGAATATTCTTCTTTGAGCTGAATATTCTTTTCAAGCTTTTTTTCCAAAGCATAAAATCGACGTAACGCAATATCTTTAGAGTTACCTAATAAATCTGTACTATTTTTAAATGGTAGTTTTACCATAATTCTTCCATCACAGTTTACAGATACATTATCAATGAAATGTTGTTCACACATGATGTGTTCCTCTGACCACTTCTGACGTTTATTAGAGACGTCTTCTAGTTGCCACATTTTTTCAATATTTTTGTTCAAAGCTTCGATTGAAGTGATGGTGCAATGACTGACTGCTTCAATTGGTTTATGTGACAAAGCATACCTTCCGGATACAATCCAACCAAATTCAGTATTTTGTCAAATTGGTAAGTTTTTACCCAAAGACATTCGACCTTGCGTTAACAACAAAAAGAAAGCTTCTGCTCCAAGTAACATATCAATACCTTTAGCGACATTAAATTCTGGATCTGCAAGTTCCATATGTGATGGAATATTTAAATCTTTCAACGAAAATGCTTTATCTGGATGATAGCTACTAATGTTCTTTGAAATGAGAAAATCTAGTGATGTTTCAAACTCGGTTATCCGTGATCGGATTGTAGTTTGCGTATTATGTTGAATTTTCAGCTCAGAAGAACCAACACCAACGATATCTATTTCAGATCTCGACCTTTTTAAGTTTAGAGCCCGTGCTAGAGAATCGGTAATGAAATTCACTTGCGAACATGAATCTAAAAGCGCTCGGCCCATTTGGTACGTTCCGGTAGAATCTTTTATGAGAATTAGAGCTGTTGCTAAAATAATGGTACTATTTGTCTTCTTAACACTCTTTTGTGAAGTAGCATGTGTAACTGGATTACTAAGTTGATCATTTCTTGATGATGAAATGTTAGAATTTACAAACGTATTTAAATCATGTTTGTGGAGCAACGTATGATGACGTTGTTTACAAAATCGACAAGAATATTTTGAGCTACATTGTGATACAGTGTGGAGGTTTGATAAACAATTGAAACACAGTTGGTGCTGTTGTACTTGATCACGACGTTGTTCTAATGGAAGTGCGATGAAATTGATACAAGTAGAAATATTATGACCTAATTTGGAACAATGTGTACACGACCTTTCAGGAATATTTTTGATCGCAAATGAATACTGCTTTGGCTTGCTAACCTTTTGTAATGAATGCGGCTGATAAGTTTGAATTGATTGCGGTTTCACATTATGCCTTGTTTGAGCATCGAGTTGTTGGCATCGCTTATCAAACATAGCACAACATTGTTTCCACGATGGAAGATTAGAGTAATCTAAATATTCATCCCATTTCTTTTTAGTTTCTTGATCAACTTTGGTAATTGTAAGATGTATGATAATTGCATCACAAATTTTTTCAAAACTTCCAAGTGATTGTAACGAATTGTACAAAGCTGAGATAGTATCAGTGATATGTCTAAGTTGTTTAGAATCAGCCTTAGAAATTTTATCCACTTCGAAAATAGATGAAATGTTTTCTAAAAAAATGATTGTATCATTGTCATATCGCTCTTTCAATCTGTCTAGTGCTTTGCCATAGTTTTCTTCAGTTACTTGGGACGACTTAATTGTTGACAAAGCTTCGCCGGATAGGCACGATAACAGATGGTTGAACTTCTCAATAGGTGGAATGAATTGATCGCTGTGAACTAGATTCGTGAAAGAGTTTATGAAGTTTTTATATTCGAGATATTTGCCATCAAATCTCGGCAAACGTAATTTAGGCAAACGATTGTACTGCATTTGAGGCATTGAAAATGTATGTTCATGTGATTGTGAGCTTCTTCTGTTGCCGAGAAGATTTAGAATACGTGATTTTACTATGACATATAGTTCGTCAATTTCCGAACGACATGTATCTTGTGGTAACAAACGGTCAATTTGACCTTGATAATAAGACGCTTGTTTATAATACGATTCGACCATACCTAACCTGCACTCAAGTTCAGTAGGAGACAAATTATTTGACGCACCAATAATGTTCTCAATTCGTGTAAGGCTCCCCTTTGAAGACGCAAGTTGTTGTCTAAGCTCATCTATATTTGGAACAGGATTAGAAACATTATTATTTGAGGCATTACCTTGACTACCGGTATTTGATGATAAAGATGGTTCAGACATTATTACAGCAAATGAAAATTATCCACGTAACAGTTCTGTGATCTCTTGTTCACGTTTAATGAAAAAAACACCAACAATGCACGAAATCCGTATGTAAGGTTTCAGTGCACGTTTGTCAACGTTTATGCAAAACGGTGTCCTGTCACCAATGTCGCCAATGTAAAAAAGAGTGAATTGTAAAGTATTCCTAGTTTATGATCAAACCTTAAATACTGAGCTCTTGCACCAATTCACCTCCTTTTTTTTACCCACGGTT